AACTGTAGCAAGAATTTTATCTAATGGTGAAATTGTTTTATCTTTAATTTACATGATTTTTCTAAGTCAAGAAGGCCACAGCATTCATTTTTCCTTGTATTCTTTCCCCACCTTCACTTAGGTCAGGATACACACTTAGGTCATGGGCAAGGGATATAGCTCAGTGGCACAAGCACCTGCCTGGCAAGTGCAAGGTCCTGAGTTAGAATACCGGTACCAAAAACAAAAGCAAAAAAACACACTTAGGTCAAAACAAAACAAAAATGACACCAATAAAGCCTGTTACCTATTTCCCACAAATCAGAGGACATATAATTAATTTTCCAAAGCAATTATTCAAGGGCATAGCTCAAGATGAAATAAAGCTGGAGGTGGGATTAGGATAGGATGAGAGACAAGCCTAAGCCCCGTCTCACATTGCTGTTACTGCTCCCTCTGCAGGAGGAGCCCCCAAATTGGTGGCTGTGTCAATGGTCTGGACAAAGTCCTCCCTCAGGGCCCTCTCCAGTGTGAGGGGCAGGGAGCGGATCAGTCTCTCTCGGAAGTCCCGACCCACAAACACATAGAGTATTGGGTTAAGACAGCTGTTGAAGCAGGCCAGGGACGCTGTTAAAGGCAACAGTAACAGTAATACCTTTATCTTATCTTGATATATTTCATGCTCTTTGAACCAGACTTTCAAAAGAAGAAAAATCAGTTGAATGGGAAACCAGCAGATAAAGAAGGAAGCCACAACAGCAGTGAGGACCCAAAAGGAACGGCTGGATTTCATCATGCCTATTCCATGAATCTTTGCAGCTATTAACCCATAACAGATAAACATGGTGGACATGGGCATACAGAAGCCAATAATGAATTGAACAATCCCCATAGGTAGCATTATTGCATTTAGTGCCTTTATCTGTTCTTCTTTCGTGGATCCCAAAGCTTCAAAGGTTTCAAAACAGTATACATTCCCTTGATCATTTCTTGTATTTGAGAAGATGCAAGCTGGCAAAGAAAAGATTACAGCAAGAATCCAGGGTCCAATGATCACTTTTTTGGCAAGACTGACACTGCGGTGGTTCTGGATCCACACTGGATACAGGACACAAATACAACGGTCCAGAGCGATGACAGCAATCAGAAAGATGCTTCCATATTGGTTTATGCCCATCATGATGTTAATGAACTTGCAGAGGAACCAGCCAAAGGGCCAACGTCCTCCCATGGCCCCGGAGACAATGAGGAAAGGTAGAGCAACACTGAAGGAGAAGTCAGCAAAGGCCAGGTTCAGGTAACAGATGGTGGTGACTGTGTGTGCCATCCGGAACCCAGCCACCCAGATCACCAGCCCATTGCCCAGCACACCGAGGACAAAGGTAACTGAGAGTAACACCGTTGGTATTATAAACAGAACAATGTATACAGCAAACACATGGAGCATCTCTTCAGATTTATATGGAGGAGTTGAAATGTTGGCTTCCATGCTGCCTACACCTGAAACATTTCAAAAAAGTGAATTTCTCCATGGTGGGTTCATCTTACAGCCTCCATATTGAGACCCAATATCACCTGCCACTGTACCTCCCACTCCACCAAAGGAATCCATTTTACCAATGCTGGTGCCCAGTAATACCATAAAATTGGACATCTCTTTGATGATCTCTGGAAAGTAAAGTTCTTCACATTCTCCCAATTATAAGTACACATCTGTTTTTCAGTTAAGAGGAGGACCAAACCCTGCCCACCAGCAGGAATGCTAAACTGAAGATCTACAGATAATAGAACATGGAGCAGAGGTAGCTTCACATACTCGCTAGACTCACATTAGCAGATTCAATGTGTTTCAACTCATGAAGTTATACATAAGGCCAGCAAATCCTGCACGCTTTTTCAGCCCCAAGTTCATGTCATCTCATGGATCCTGTACATCCCCAGTGTGAGAGTGGAACTCACTTGGAACTCTTGTCTGCTTAGCATTTTAGTTAGCTCATTTAAGAGTTTGCTTAGAGTTTATAGTTGAAGAGAGTCCTGAACATTCGTGGTACTATGTGGTGATAGGTTACAACCTCTGGGTCTTGTGCAAGAGGAAGTGAGTAAAGAAGACCCCATTTTCAACCCAGTTTCCTCCTCCCACTTTATATCCTCTCTGGAAAGCCGAGAACTTCTACAGTTTTAGTATCTGTGTCATTAAGAGTATGACAGTAGAAAGCTTTCTTAATTGCTCCAAAGTGTTCAGATTTTCTAGTTTTCATAGGGATAAATTGATTTTCCAAACAATTTTGAAACCTGGTGTAGGTAATTTAAATGGTAGAGGAAGGATATAGATCTACCTTGGTCTGTAAATAACAGTTACTAAGGAGTTGGTTATGTTTAATATCTATTATAACATTCTGTCTTCTCTATTTTATTATCATAAAAGCTCTAGTCCCGAGGTTCTACTGAACTTTTCAAAATCATGTCTATCCAGTCAATGGAGGCAATAAGATTTGCAAAGCTGGTTTAACTAATTCCAGAGCAATTGCCTTTGTTGCTATATAATACTGCCTTCCCCGCTATGTGGCGCTGTCTTTGAAATTACCCTAGAATTCTTTGGGTATGCATCTACCTTATTATGATGATTTTCCTCCTTCATTTCACTTCTTACTTCGACCATTTGTTGCCTTTCTCCGTCTCTTTTTCTGGGGTCCTCATGGGACACTGTGTAAGGTCAACCTCAGCACTGTTGACATTGGAGCCTGAGTACTTTGTTGTTTTGGGGCTGTCTTGTGCATTTAGAATGTTTAGGGGCATCTCTGGCCTCTCCTCACTGGATGCATTAGCAAATTGCCTCCAACAACATCAGTCTAAGTGTCCTTAGGGAGGCAGAATCACCCCCAGTTCAAAGTCACTGTTTTGACTGTAAAGAACCCTGATTTCTAAGTTGCATAAATCTGTAGGTATTTGATTTATATCTCTGACATGTCCTCGGTTTGAGTTTTGCACAAAGTCAGCTCTGAGCTTCCATTTCCTCCTCCGCAGAATGAATGTGGGTTTTGGTGGGGACAGACTTCCAGGTGGGGATTAAACCTGAATAGACAAAGGAGTCTTGGCTGGACCATGTGACTAACAAATGGAAGCTCATCCTCACCAGGATCTGTGCTGTCTTAGGACTCAGTTGTGGGCTGTGCATGTGGAAATTCAAACTCTGGCGAGAACAATGCTCCCAAGAGTGTTCACTGCTATTTGTGAACCTTGTCCACACTGAAACAGCTGCCTTCAACTCTCAGAATTCTCAGTGGCTCTTGAAGATTGTAGATGTTAATTTACCTAAGGCATGGGATACACTAAGATGTTACAAATATTGAACAATATTATTTATGCTCATATACCATTGTACAAGTGAGGAGGTTAAGACTTAGGCTGGTTATGCTCGTTGCTTAATATTTTCAGTTAGACAATAGCATAGCCAGATTTTGACCCCAGTCTAACTGATTCCTCCAGAAGTATGTTCTTAATTTTCTCCCACCGTGTTTCAACAAATTGAGGTTTTCTGTTCCTTTCCTGTCCTAAAACATCCTGTCAGACACTTAGAAGATGATATAGTCAATAATTTCTAACTCATTGACTGTAAGATGTCAATACGAGGAGGGAGAGTGACAGGTGGGGCCGGGCCAAGAAGACAAAGTTGCAAAATTGCAGGTGCACCCTAGTTGTAAAGTGGGGGAGAGAGCTGTGAGCTATGCAGCTTACCTGACTGACCCTAACGACGTCTGTGTGGTAAGACCAAGTACATGCCAACATCTCTCATTATAGCAAGTGCTTTGGGGCCAAACATCACCATCATATGATACAAGATGAAACCACAGCTCAGAGAAGGGAAGTCATGGCCAAATGTCACAACCATTGCAGTGTGCAATTACAATCTGTAGCCATGTACTTTAAATAGGAACTCAGCACTTCCTTATAATTCACTCTACTTTTAACATCTTCTCATCCTCATCTTTAAAATTAATTTCAATTCTTTTGCTTTCCCCTGAATCTCCCTAACTTCCTCCATGTCTCTCACTGGACCAATATTTCACTGAGAAAATGCTGACAAGTCAGTGTGAATTTTTACCTTTCTTCTGCCAACCCTGCAATGTACCTGCATGTATTCCTGTGGCTAGGATGCTTTCCCATTCCCAATACCGATCTCTCAAGTTTGCTCTGGATCCCTCTCCTCACCTCCCCCAAATCATGTCTCCTACATTTTTTCTTTCTTTCATTCTCACTGTGACATAAGCATTATTATACCCCTCCCTTTAAATGATATCCTTAGTCTATCTTCCTTTCCAACTCCAGCTCAATGTTTCCCTCAAGAGACGTCTTTCTGTGAAAAGCATTCACAGTCAGACACTAGAAGGGGCAACTCTAACTTCCCCCTCCACTTCTCCTCAAATTTTCTCCAAACTCACTGCATGTCCCTTGGGTCCTTTGCACTCCACCATACGTGGCCTCCTGGGAGAGGCTGAATGACTCCATGTCACCAAAGCTAGTGCTGCCTTCTCCATACTTGTCCTGATATCCCAGTCACATAGGCTCGATCAGACTCTTCTTACCTCCTGAGATATAATTGTCTTTTGCTTTGAGAAGATAGCATGCACACAAAACACATTCTTCATTCTTTAATTTGCTCAATTAGCCCTGTTTGTTTTGCGCAAATTTACAAGTTCTATATTCTCTAGATTTCATTTTAAATTTGGATTTGTGCCTTACCATACAGCCCTCATTCTCTGTCTATAATCTATAATCTATAAGTGATACAGTGCAATCTCATGGCTTACAGTATCATGTGGACAACATGAAATCTAAATCATCATCCATAGCATTGCCCCAGAGCTCTGCCCTGATATGATCAACCAAGTTCCTGACATTTCCACATGACCAACAAAACCTCAAACTAACACTGTCTCAACAAGATTCTTTTTTTTTTTTTTTTTTTTTTGGTTTTTCTCCGGTACCAGGAACTGAACTCACGGCCTTGCGCTTGCCAGGCAGGCGCTTTTTGCCGCTGAGCTAAATCCCCAGCCCCTCAACAAGATTCTTAAATATCTTATTCTTCCAAGTGAGGCACTCTCCCAATACCCTGAGCTTACATATTCTGAGCTTACATATTCAGTAGTGGAAGAGCCTAATGTAGAATATATCTTTGATTTCTTTTTCTTTACCCTGTAATCCAATCCTAGCCTGTTAATACTGAATATACTCAATCATCTCTACCCCACTAACCTTCTCTGTAGCTCTTCATATTTTCACTAACCTCATAAATAAGTGCATCCTGAACCTGCTGCCTCCCCCACTAAAATGTGTTCTCATGGAAAAAATCAAATCATCTTTTGTAAAGACCAGAACATAACCATGACACTAAAGGAGGCATTTTGGCAAACATTTGCAATCCAAATTTCTCAGCAGGCTGAGACAGGACAGTAGCAAATTCGAGACCACCCAGAAAACAGTGAGACTTTGTCTCAAAAGAAAATTTATAAACAATTCTGTAGTGGTGCGCCTCAGGTGGAGTGCCCCTGTGTTAGGTCCTCACTTTCCCAAGAAAATAAATAAGTAGATAAAAATAATAACAAAGATAGGACATTGTTCAGCTCAGTGCTGTCCAGCACCTCCATCCTAACTCACAGTTAACTAGGACTTGTGTGTGCCTGCCTGTCCGTCCTCACATCTCATCCCTCCACTCAGATCTTTCACACTGTGCTCGGTTCACACTGAGCTCCCTCACTTCCTTATACATGCAATTCAGTGCCATCTCAGAGACTCTGCACTTTCTGTTCCCTTCTGCTCGCTATACTTTTCCCTTTGAGTGTCTCTTATCTGGCCCTTCCTGAATATTCATTCCTTAGCCTAAATACTATGTCCTGAAAGGGCCAGTTTGACCCATGATGTGAAGCCCTTCCCCCAGACACAGCTGGCCTCCCCAGGTAGCTGTCTTGTTTCTGTACTGATTGATTTATTTTTCACTTAGTACCCTCAGCACTGATGTATAAACTCTATAAGACTATCAGGTTTGCTTGCTACTTTGTCTCCAGTATTGCAATCTGTAACAAAAATGTAATGTGAGCCACTAGTATGAGCCACACACATGATTTATAATTTTCTAATAGCCATGTTGAAAAAAAATTTAAATTCTAGAAAAATGAATTTTAGAGATATGTTTAATTAACTCAACATATCCAAGAGAATATCATTGAAACGTTTTATCAAAATAAATTATTAGGTGGGGTGATTGCACAAATGTATAATCACGGGTGCTCAGGAACCTGTGCCAGGAAGACGGTGAGTTCTAAGGCCAGCTGACTACTTAGAAAGACCTGCACTCAACAACAAAAACTACAAAGAAGACAAAAGATATTAATGGGATCTTTTATACCTGGTTTGGGGTACTCTGACTTTGAAAACACCTAGTGCCTTTTGCACTCTGGGCATTCTAAGTTGAAAGTTCACCTGGTAGGCTGGATATTGGACAACTCCATTTGAGGGGTAGAGAGTGTCTATTATCTAACAGGCATTCAAAAAATACGTTCTAAATTGTCACACTGCAACTTACCTCCAGCTGGCATTCTCCCTTGTGGCAACCTCCTGGCTTCCTGTGGAGTAAAACAAATTCTCAGCCTTCAGAAGAGATTTTAAGGTCAGAGGGAGGGACAATGAAACCAGTACTAATCACATGACCAAAACTGAAGGCTCCTTACGATTTCCTGTAGCTACTACAGACATGCAGAAGACTCTTAGATACATGTTTTGACATAAAGGGAGACAGGGACCATCTTGTGAATATCAGGGTTCAGGATCTGGATCCAGGTCTTTTTCCTTCAGAGAGTCAGGAGCATGGAAGAAATGAATACTGAGGTGAAAAGAACTAGAGGCAAACAGTAAAAGACAGATGATAGTTAAGCAAAAAATGCACTCCTCTATTAATATATTTACATGGATTGTGTGGCATTTACCACACCAACCAATTCCAATTCTTTATGAACACTAACTGTGTGTCTTATGAGTCCATTCTGTCCCAACCCCATCAAGATGCAAAGCAAAGGTGGTCAGAGTATACCTCTCAGTGAGAGAAATGAGATTTTTGTTGGTATCTTCTTTTAACACTTGCATTGATGCCCGGTGCAGACAGGAGATCCTGACTCAGAAGGCCTATGAACTGCTAACACAGGGGTTCATAATTGGGCCCTCCCTGCAATGCCTGAGGTACTAGAGTAGGCAGCACGTGAACTGCTAACACCACGGTTTGAGTCTGGGCTTCACTTGTGCCCTGACCTCCTGGAGGTTACAGTCATAGGTGGTCTGTGATCACCACCAGTGAAGCCTTCATCTGGCTCCTGAGCCTGCCCTGAGCTACCTGGAGACATGGAATCAGGTGGGCCACAAACTATTGATCCTGCAATTCATGTTTGGGTTGATCCTGCAATTCATGATCCTGTGCCCTGAACTGCCTGGAGAAACAGGACCACTGATCCATGATTGCACCACCAGTGCAGCTGACTTTTGGATCATACATGTGCCCTGAGCTGCAAGGGGACACTGGTTCAGACAGTCTGCCATCGGGTGACATCACAGGTCACATCTGAGACCTGGGAGAACTAGACACATTTCATCATGTGCCAGAAAACCCCAGACTAAGTAGTGCATCTCAGCAGACACTGAGGAGCAAACCTGACCACCAGGGAGACTAGGAACACTAGTGACTTCTGCTGAGCTGCCAGGGAAGAGGGAGAATGAGCTTTCTGCATCTGGTATCAAACATGACAAGATGAAGAACTAAAATGCAATCTCAGAACTCCACCCCACTCAGAACAAGTCCAGGAGACATCGACGTAGGAGAACTTGGTAAACACACACCAGAAATTGTTGAAATGACTGCAGTGGAAGTAAAGAAACAACTGCATCAGGCCCTTGAAGAGATCAGATCAGAAATAATCCCTCAGGCAAAAAAATGAAATGACAATAATAATGAAAGAATTGCTCAGCACATCTAGAGAAGAAATACATAAAAAAATAGATGATCATAGACAATGGACGGAAATGTTGCATGAACAATATAGGAATGAACTAGAACGCATGAAACAGAATCAAAGAGACATTCAGGAAATCAAAACTTCCATTGAAAGCTGGAAAAACCACTTGAATAAAGCTGAAGATAGAATTTCAGATCTTCAAGACAGCATTGCAGCTAGGGATCGTGAAAGAAAGGATTTCTTAAAATTAACAAGGATCCAGGAAAAATCAGTTCAACAGCTGCAAGATGAGGCAAAGAGGAATAATGTCAGGCTAATAGGAGTCAATGAAACAGCAGGAGGCAACACAAATGACATAAAAAGAATATTTGCAGAAATAATAGCAGAAAATTTCCCAAGCATAGAAACAGAATCTGATATACAGTAAATGAGGCATATAGAACTCCAACTAGACATAACAAAAGTAAAAGTACACCCAGACATATAATAACCAAGATCCCAGATCTCTAGCAAAAGAACAGAATATTAAAATCTGCTAGAGAAAAGAAATAGATTACCTACAAAGGAAACCCCTCAGAAGCACAGCAGACATCTCAACACAAATCATCCAATTGAGAAGAGCTTGGTGTGAAGAATTATAGGTCCTGAGACAAAACAAGTTCCAACCAAGACTGATGTACCCTGCCAAACTTTCCTTCAAGTTCAGCAGAGAAATAAAGTATTTCCACCACAAAGAACAACTGAGGAACTCCATGAGTGCCAAACCGTCCTTACAGAAAGTACTAAAAGATATTCTAGACAGAGAAAAAAATGACCACAATTTCAAGAACAATAGTACAAAGGAACCCTCAAGCAGAGCAAACAATTAAATAGGTAGAAAAAGTAGGAAACCAACAGCAAGTAAATAACATGACAATGGTAAGCCAACATGTATCAGTCATAACCATAAATGTAAATGGCCTCAATTCACCAGTCAAAAGAAACAGACTACCAGAGTGGATTAAGAAACAAAATCCAACGATATGCTGTATACAAGAAACATATTTTACTTAAAAGGAAATCCATAGACTAAAAGTAAAAGGATGGAAAACAATTCTCCATGCAACAGGAACCCAGAAAAAAGCAGGGGTAGCTATTCTGTTTGTAGACAACATAAATGTCAAACTGAGAACAATCAAAAGAGATAAAGAAGGTCACTACATACTTGTAGGGAAAACTGCAAGAGGATGAGATAACAATCATAAACATGTATGCACCAAATATTGGAGCACCAAACTATATAAGACAAATCTTAACAGGCATGAAACCCAAATAATTAATAAAACTATTGTAACAGGGGATCTCAACACCCCTTGGACACAAAGAGATAGGTCAAGTGGAAGAAAAATCAGCAAAGAAATAACAGATCTGTACCAAAGCTGTGAACAAATGGACTTAGTAGATGTCTACAGAGTGTTCCACCCCACAACATGAGAATACACATTTTTCTCATCTGCACATGGGACTTTCCCTAAAATAGAGCAAATTCTAGCCCATAGAGCATACCTACCTAAATGCAAAAGAATTGAAATTATCCCATGCATATTATCTGATCACAGTGCAATGAAATTGGAAATTAATGACAAAAGGAACTCCAAAAACTTCATAAACTCTTGGATATTAAATAGCAACCTCCTGAACAACCATTGGGCCACAGAAGAAACCAAAGAAAACTTTTAAAAATACCTACAAACAAATGAAAATGTAAATACAACTTACCAGAATCTGTGGGATGCAATGAAAGCAGTCCTCAGGGGGAAATTTATAGCAGTGAACTCACACATAAGGAAAACAGAAAGAGAACAAGTAAATAGCCTAATGCTGCACCTCAAACTTTTAGAAAAAGAAGAACAAGTCAAGTCCAAAGCCCAAAGAAGGGAGGAGATTATAAAGATCAGGGCAGAAATGAATGCAATTGAGATGAAGAAAACCCTCGAAACAATAAATGAATCAAAGAGTTGGTTCTTTGAAAGAATAAATAAAATTGATAAACCCCTAGCTAACCTTATCAAAAAAAGAAAGGAAATCTTGTTCCTGATTTTAAAGTAAAAGCTTTCAGTTTTTGTCCACTTAGTATGATATTGGCTGTTGGTTTGTCATAGATAGCTTGGATCAGACTGAGGTAAAGACCATCTATTCCTATTTTCTGTAGGGTTTTCATCATAAATGCATGTTGGACTTTGTCAAAAGCTTTTTCTGCATTTTTTGAGATGATCATGTAGTTTTTGTCTTTGGCATTATTGATATGGTGTATAACATTAATTGATTTATGAATATTGAACTGAAAAAAGAAAGAAAATCAGGAACATATTTATGCAATAAGGAATGAAAAAATGAAATCACTACAGATCCTACAGAAATTCAAAAGATCATTAATACCTAATTTGAAAACCTTTACTCTGATACAGTAGAAAACCCAGAAGAAATGGACAGATTCCTAGATATGTACAAATTACCAAAGTTGAAGCAAGAAGATATAAAAATCCTGAATAACCCAATATCAATTAATGAGATAAAAAATGTGATTAAAAACTTACCGATAAAGAAAAGCCCAGGCCCAGATGGATTCACAGCAGAATTTTACAAGAAATTCACAGAGAATTTAATACCAACACTTGTCAAACTCTTCAACAAAATTGATAAGGAAGCAATTCACCCTAACTCATTTCTGAAGGCAAATATTATACTGATACCAAAACCAGAGAAAGATCCAACCAAGAAAGAGAACTACAGATAAATCTCACTAATCAATATCGATGCAAAGATATTCAATAAAATACTAGCAAATAGAATGCAGTCTCACTAGTGTAAGAACCTGAATAAAAATTAGATGGCATGACAGACATTGTGAAATGAAAGAAAACTGCTCAAAAGTAAAGAGCAACTGGGGTGAGGGAACAGAGAAAAGAAAGAAGGAGGAATTAGGTATGTATATATATATATATATATACAGGACAGCTAACATAGTTGTACCACTGACTTCTATCACTTTACTGAAAGGAACAGTTAATGATTAATTATTTGATCAATCCCGCATGT